GCAGCTTTACTGCGAGTGAATCACCCATTGCAGCTTTCCAGTCAGCTTCTATAGGTCTTGCAGTTCACTATAAACTCAATATTTCTGTTTAAAGCAATCAGAAGCTTCCCATTTTGGATATGCAACTGCTATCTTGTCGATGACTTTTGCAGATTTGGGGGTGGGGGACAAGTAGAGGTATCCAAGCAATCAAGACACTGCTTGTGAATTGGAGTTGGATTTCTCTTGAGCCCTTACAAAGGTGCATTAGCAGGAAGGTGGTATAGTATTATTCCATTTTAAATTCATTATCTAAACTTCCTTACTAGATGGAACAACTTATTTTCCGTTGTGAGTTTCCAAATATCCATGACCAACCCAAAAAGCAAACTCCTTTGGGTTGCCTTTTTATGAAATAGAATAAACATGTATATCATACTCTTTTTTCTTCTTCTTCTTTTCTTCTGGAAGATGTATACAAAGTAGTTGCAGTTCAGAGATTTGCAAACTCACTGCTCTGACCTCAAGAAGTTATTTTCCATTTGTAAGGAAGGCAGTGCTTAGTTCTTAAAGGTAGTTCTTTTGGTTCTCTGTCTGAAGGGTCTCTTGATTGGGGTAGTTGACACAAATTAGGAAATAATCTCTATAGATTGTGGATTAGTCCAGGAAAGCAAACTCTTTGCATAATATGGATTGAAAAAAGAAATGTCCTAGGAGCTGGGAAAAAGGATAACTTATATGAAATATTTCGTGAGAAACTTTTCTTGCAAAAAGAACAGCCATAACATTCTGAAAAATTTAAAAACTTTAGTACACCTGTGTTGCCAAAGACAATTTTGTCTATTTCCCCTAAATATTTCTTGCACTAGCTTGAATAACAACACAAGTTGCAAATATCATGTTCTTAAGAGGCTTTACTGACCAGTAAAGCCAGTAACACCTACCAGTATAAGATCAGTAACATCTCAGAGCATTTTTTTTCTTTCTAAGAAACTAGTGTTTATTAATCAGTTATTAATCAGTGTTTTCTGCCTTATAGGCCTGCTTCGTCCCCTCAGCTTTCACATGATGATACCCATTCACGCATTGAGCATTATGCTAGCAGGTATGAGATCAGGTGGTTTGCCAGGCAAATTTTCCTTGAAACAGTTATTTTTTAAAAAAGTAAATCATTATCACAGCCACCACTGCTCAGATGTTAAGAAATGAAGTTAGGGTAATTTCAAGTTTCTACAATTTATGGTATACATGTTTACTAATCTGTATGCATGTTTACTAACTTCTACTAATCAGCTTGCTAACTAATCCGCATGTAGAAAGACTGCATGATATTTAGAATGTATGTCAACTAATTGAAAATAGGAAATGACAATGCATGGTTTTATTTACCTCTAATGTTCTGCTTTTGTTCAGAACTTCAGTATGCAGTCTTCTTTTTGGAGGTATCCGTCAGTATAATACTGAGCGACCACATAGTACAAAATAGCAATTCACACCCAGTATCTAATCCTCAATACATGGGTCATAATTCATAAAACTTTAGTTCAGGTTCTGATGTATTATAAAGAAGAAATGGAACTGCTCTTTAAATTATAAAACATTACTATAGTTCACTTATCTTTAGAAAGCTAGTATCTCAAATATTAAAAGAATACTGGCTAAATTATAACATTTCTGTGCACTCATAGGAAATTGAGGGTGGGTGGATACAGCAAAAATAATACTTTGTTTTATTGTCAAGTAGAAAAGAATTGAAGTTTTCACATTTCATGTGTGTTGTACAGCAGATAATCTTATACCTGACTGAAAACCTACACAATAATGAGTGTTAGTGTGTGTGTAGAGTATATTCCAAGATCACATAGTGATATTTTTGTTCTCAGTTTTAACAAGGAGAAGATACAGTGAATTTTAAGATATTTTCCTTTCTCCATAGGCTAGCAGAAATGGAGAACACCAATGGAACATATCTGAATGATAGTATTTCTCCTAATGAGAGCATGTAAGTATGCCTCTGTGAAGTTCCAGGATACTTTTAACTTGTATGCATGCTTTCAGATTTCTGTAGGAAGTTCTTAAACATACAAATTATCCACAGTATGTATCTAGAAAGATACATAGAATTTTACTCTAGCCTGCTAGTTACTAGACACTACTGGTAGTCCTCAACTTACGACCACAATAGGGACCAGAAAATTAATTGTTAAGCAGTGCAGTCATTAAGTGAGGCATCATGTGACCGCACACATTTTTATGACCTTTTTTGCTGTGATCATTAAGTGAATCATTGCGGTTGTTAAGCGAGACATTATGTGACCACAACTTGCAGGCCTCCCTGCTGGCTTCCCCATTGACTTTGCTTGTCAGAAGCTGACTGGGAGAGTCACAAACGGCGATCACGTAAACTCAGGACACTGCAACCATTGTAAATGTGCAGCAGTTGCCAAGTGCCCAAATCATGATCATGTGTTCACAGGGATGCTGCAATGGTCATAATTGCAAGGACTGGACATAAGTCGCTTTTTTCAGCACCATTGTAACTTCGAATGGTCGTAAGTTGAGGATTAATTCTATTGGAGGTAGTGTTTGAAATTTAACATCACCTTATTAAAATGCATTAAAAGAAAAACAAAAATACATGTTAAAAATATTTCAATAGACACCACAGATAAAACATAGCCTTTGATCACATGTAGAAAGTCTGCTGATTTTCATGAAGCCATAAATAAGACTGAAATAGCTGCTGATTAAGGTCTTTCATCAAAGCTGCTCCAAAACTCAGTAGAGAAGACCAAACAAGATCCTAAGTACTGACAAACAGATTGAATAAGCTTTTAAATGTAATTATTTATTAAAAAGTCAGATGGGTATATTTGTGTCTATTCCTGGTGAAATCACCTTAATAAAATAATTATTAAAACTTTTAATCATATCAAGATAGTACTACCCATTTTCTAAGAATGAAGAGTTTGTATCAGTTATCAGCCTATTATATTACTATTTAGTCTTATCAGTGTTTATTATATAATATTTATGTACTTTTTTATAGAATGAAGGGGGAGTGAGAGAGAGAAAGAGAGATTTTAATACATGAACAATTCTTGTTGGTTAAACTCAATTGCTTCAAATCTTTATAACTCAACGATCAGGAACCTAGTATTTATGATCATTCAGAGTCCTCCTACAAAGTGAAAATTCTAAAGGATTTCATTTTTGAATCTGTTTTATTTTTCAATTCACTGAAATGAATTGGTTTGTGGAAAATATTATCTGTAATTGTATGTTTTTAAAAGTCACACCATGTAAGGAGAGAAGCATTACTTAAGGTAAACAGTGTTTAGTTGAACATTAATTTATGTTTTCTATCATTTAATTTTAATGGTGGAGTAACCCAGTTAAGTACTCAAGTTATTACTTACTATAAACAGAAAGTGGGGGGAACCCTCCAGATATTGTCTGCCTTTGGGAGAGATACCATGCTTCTAAGAGTAAATTTATATTTACAGGTTTCTAGATCATTTACCAGTTCTTAGCTCAAATTTCATCTAGGGTGTTGGCAATTACAGTACAGGTAGTCCTCGGGTTACGATGGCAATTGGGACCGGGAATACCATTGCAAAGTGATGTCATAAAGAGTGACATCACACGACTGCATCACTTAGTGACAGCAATTCTGGCAGTCCTGGTTGTCATTGTTAAACAAGTACCATGTGGATTGTTAAGCAAGGATCTCACATGATCACGACTTCCTGCTGGCTTCCCCAGTGACTTTGCTTGTGGGCAGCTGGCAGGAAACATTGGAAATTGTGATCACGTGACTGCAGGGGTGTTGCAATGGCCAAAACTATTCAATGCTGTCATAACTTTGAACTGTTGCTGAATGAATGGTCATAACCTGATCACTACCTGGATCTCAAAGTTAACAGTTTTCTATAGAAGGCACTACTCCTTAAAGAATGCCACATACTTATTAAAAATACTGTAGAATATATTTCACTTTGGAATGAAGGACAAATGTTTATTTTGCATGCTTCTACTTCCATCTTGATTTCAAGGCAACATGCAGGCAGTATTATGCAACATTATACAAAGCAACTATAATTGAAAAGGGAGAATTTTAATTTTTGTTAAAAGTTAAGACATCAACATAAATATAAATTCTTAGGAGAAATGACAATCATTTAGTGGAAATAATCCATACAGCTTTAAAATTATGAACATATGTCAGGAAATTACATATTAGGTACAAATTAGAATATAATGAAAGCCTGGATACAGGAAATCTGTTTTTAAAAAAATCAGTAGTTTGTCTAAAAGAAAGGGACAAGAGAATACATGTTAAATGTGTCAAAAGAGCAAGGAGCTATACAGATGCATCCTTTTTTATATGTATGTATAATGTTTGATGATGCCTTTTCAGATTTCTTGTGATCAGACCTTAGAAAGCACAGAGTAGCCATAGAAAGTTAAGACTTAGGTCATCCTTTCCTAGAAAACAAGCTGGTGTGGCATTAATTTGCAGCTGGAGATAGCAATCTTGGGCTCCAGCCGAGATGATTTCTGAGAACTCATTTTAGCTTGATAGTACCTACATATTTTCCTATACATTATTTGCTGTTGAATCCAATTTATTCATAATTCATTATTTTCCTGTCTTTTTCCTTAGACATTGTACCAAACAATGACATATTGTCTTATGTCTTCTCCCTCCCTCCCTCCCTCTCTCTCTGTATGTATCTATATATCTTAACCGTGTTGATTAAGTGCCTTATTTCTTCTGTTTTTTAAAATTAATTTTTATTAAAGAATTTTAACAGAATAAAAACAATACAAATTTAAAGGAAACAAAAAGTAAAAGAAAAGTGATAAGTAAATAAAAAAGAAATGAAAGAAGACAAGAAAGAAGAAAGATATAAAGTGTCTGTAATATAAAGTATTACAGCAGTTATAAATGCATTTATATTTTATCCTCTCTTATTTTCTTTAAGAGATGATGAGCATTTGCTAATCCAGCACTACTGCCAAAGTTTGAACCAGGAATCCCCACTCAGTCAACCTCGTAGTCCTGCACAGATTTTAATTTCTTTGGAAAGTGAAGAAAGAGGTGAGCTGGAGAGAATCCTTGCAGACCTGGAGGAAGAAAATAGGTAAGTTTATAATATCACTTCCATGCATTCACATATTAAGTAATTCAAACCAGCAAGTTAACAGTTGGAATAGATGGTGGCTTATATGTAATTTACCAATTTTACAGATGCATTTTTCTTTTCTACTTATGAATGTGATTTGTTACGTTAAATGTCTGGATGATGAAATTCCATTATACTTATCCAACTTAACACAAATTTTAAAATCTTGTAATAAAATGTAAATTTTGGCCTGCCATAAATAACTAGAAAATTGTTTGCTAATTTTGTATGTATGTATTGCTTTCTTTATTTGTACATAAGTAAATATATTTAATAGTTATGAAAGCAAAAGCTTGTGTTCAATGTAGAATTGCATCTTTACCTTTTCCTAGATGAAACATTTTATAAACGTGTACTTATCTGTTTACTAGTCAGTTTTCATCTTGTCTGCCATCCTGTAGCTTTTTCAGGACATACTCAGGAACACATTCTAATTTTATATATTTTCAGAAATGTGGAAATCAGGCCTCTTGTACTGAGAAAAAGGATGGCAGCTGTAAAATTCTTCTCCTGGGGTAACAGTGAGGTGGGCATGCAGAGGGCATAGAGAATGGCCTTGAAGGACAATGGGAAGATCCATTACTAAGGCAGCGGTCAGATAACAAGGCTTCAATCCATTTTAAGAAACTAACCTGAGGAAATGTCTCACACATGCCGCTCCCTAATTCAGATGAAGATAAAGTGAAGGAGGAGGGAAGCACATTCTGACTTGCAAGATTCTGTATTATAGCTTTTCCAATAAAAGTAGCTTTAAACCTATATGGCATTGGTTTCTTAGTCTGGTCTACCCTATAGAGCTGACAGGGCGCTATCTTTCAGCAGCCCCAAAGAAAATATCTGCTAACTAAAAGACAGTGACATTGAAATACATGAACAATTAGATTCCACTACTTAATATACAAGTACGTTTATTACTGTTGATTGTGAACAGATAACAAGCAACTCGTTTTCTATCTCCCGATGTAAAATAGTAAGACCATCCTAAGTCAGTTGCTTATATCAGGTTGTATCATTTCTTTCTTTTACATCATTCAAGGGTGTATATCAAGGACATTTCACAGGAGCCACTTCTCAATTTATGGAAGCATGTCAGCCTCTACTGAGGAGATTCATGCCAACTTGGTGAACTGTGCCATATGACATTTGAATTGAAAATGTATCAATAATATTATACAGAAGTGAAAAATAATGATTTTTGGATAATCTGGTGCAGGAACTCCATTATGACAACAGTTACATGGACTGAAGCCCTTAATTTAGTAGAAATTAAACCTTAAGTCAAATCTGGGAAAACAAAAGAACTGACCTTCATTTCAACTATAAAATGGAAAAGCATGGCATATTCATAAATATACTTATATGCCATTTCTATTCTTTCAATAGAAACCTGCAGGCAGAATATGACCGGCTGAAGCAGCAACATGATCACAAAGGACTATCTCCACTGCCATCCCCACCTGAGATGATGCCCATTTCCCCACAGAGTCCACGAGATGCTGAACTCATTGCAGAAGCCAAATTGCTTCGTCAGCACAAAGGCCGCCTAGAAGCCAGGATGCAGATCCTGGAGGATCACAACAAACAGCTAGAATCACAGCTGCATAGATTAAGACAGCTGTTGGAACAGGCAAGACTTCAGCCTTTCTTTTTTATTCTCCTCAGTGATTAAAGCCATATTTTAAAGCAGGTGATCAAAGAGTAGCAAATGTGTGATCACAAACTGGTATTAGCTGTAGAAAATATTTTTTTTAACTTAATTTGCTTATACTTATTCTATCACAGAGTAAAAATGTAACATCCTAGGATTGTATGCCGACTGAAATCCTCTGTAAAATTGCTTGAGAGAAAACCTTCTGAAGTTTGGTGAAATTTATTTCTCAGTACATTTATGGGTATGCTATTGATCATGCTGTTACCCTTAAAATAAATCATTATGTTTTCTTCTGGTACTTCAGCCTCAAGATGCTAAGGTGAATGGTACAACCCAGTCTTCTCCTCCTACCTCATTACAGAGGTCAGAAAGTAACCAGCCAATGCTTCTCCGTGTTGTTGGTAGTCAAACTACAGAATCTATGGGTAAGCTAAAAATGACACACATTAATGATAACGTCTTACACAGTAAAATGATAGTTGTTACCTGCTTTAAATTTTCTCTACTTGTTTCCTTTGCTAGAACTATATGGATTGACTTATTTGCAAAATCAGTTTGCTGGGAGGGCAAGCTGACAGTGAAGTGAAGAGCTACTTTCTGGAGCCTCGGTTTTAGAAAATTTCTTAAATGTAGTTATTATCTACACACAAGATCTGTTAAGCATTTTTTCTGCTTTATGAGTTATAGACATCATGTAGAATCCCTTGGGGAAGTGGCAAATAATTATCTTACAAAATTCTGATTGGGCTACTCTAATGCCTTGCCTGTGGGACTGTCTTTGAAAATAGTATTCATTTTGTTTTATTTTGTTGTGCTGCCCTGAGAAATGTTATATGTGCCTGTAAAATATAGGCATATATAACTTCTGACTCTTAAGTCAGAAATGAGCAACCACAAACCTAGGGATTACATGCATTTCCTGGAGTTTCATTTACAGTTCCTAAATTTTGTACAGTAGGCGGAGCTGAAAAGGTTTAGATCATTTTGTTTTTTGAGGCTGGAAAAGCATAAAATCCTATGAATTTTAGCCATGAAGCACCACCCCATCAATGTTTTTGATGGGATGAGCTAGAAGGAAAGCAGATGCTTTAACTATCTGTAGATTTAATACAAATACAGAATACAAGATGGAACTTCATCAGAATGAAATTCATCACTTGCTTCCCTCAGGTAAAGCAGAAAGCCTTACCTGAGGATTGCCAATCTCTAATTGAATGTTGTTGTTTTTTAAATCATAACATAATAGTGCTCAAAGAAAACTAAGCAAGTTATTTTTGGCAAACCTATTCTCACCTAATTCATTTCTAACTATTTTAGTATATAATGATTGGTGCTTATTGTATTTCTCAAAGCTATTCTCTGATATCAGCTCAGCCACCTTGTCTTCTAGATGGATGTCCAGCTCAGTATTCACTGCTGGAGTCCCTCAACAGGGTCTCACAACTTCTGCTGCTCCCTTGGCAAAGAAGGCAACTCCTATGCCAAAAACATAGCTTACCATAGAAATTTAATTGAAATCTACAGCTTCTGTGTACCTAAGCACCTTGCCAAAAAAAAGGGGCTGTTTGCAACAGCTGATAGTTATTAAAGTTCTGGTGTCCAAAGTTGAAAGTAATGGTTGCACAGATGCTTTCGATGAAGCTTTACTTTCACTTGTATCACATTTAATTGAGTCTGGAAATGGATTAGGAGCTATTAATGACATAATTTTCTAGTATATTTTGGAACAGCAAATGTTTTCTGACTACTTTCAAAGGTAGTTCCACATACAATGCAGACAGAAAGTTATAGCAAGGCAGTTCCATGTACTGCCTCAACATTTGTATTCTACTCATCTCTCAAACAGCAGTGCTCAAAGCTCACTGGTAAACCCTGATGCTATCTGAACTCTGCATTTTGTGTCAGCACAGTTTGGACCAATAATGTCAATCCTGAGTCATCTGTGTTCCATTAGCAATTAGGGTTTTAATGGAATCACCAGTTTTCCTACCTGGAATTCTTTGAGGGCTTCTACACATAGGGTTTTATGTGTAGAGTGACTGTGCCTCTGCACATACAACTATGTGAGGCACTGTTTTGTACCCTAAACACATGCTGGGAGCAGCAATCAGAAGTTTTAAGGCTGTTTGTCTATAATTCATGAATCAGGAGTGGCTTTGCATGTTCTGAACCAGTTATTGTACACAGTGATACATTAGATAGATGCAGTGGTAGAATAGATGAAGGCAGTTTACTTCTGCTTTTCTTTTTATCAGGTGAGGATGATCTGCTAAGTCCCCCCCAGGACACAAGCACAGGGTTAGAAGAGGTCATGGAACAACTTAACAATTCCTTCCCAAGTACAAGAGGTAAGCACCAGTATTCAACAGGACATAATGCAGGGAAATTGCAGACAGTGGATCTTTCTTGCAAATTGGTATTATGCTGAGAAATACATAAATGAAAGATGCAAGTCTAAAAAAGAAACCACAACATTTACATCCATAAATATTATGATTAGTTGAAAATAATTATAAAATGCTGTATAGTACAGTTCTTGCTCTCTTTTAATCTTTTGCATTTAATAAATTTATGTATTGGTATATTAACCAGAAGTTACTGTCTTAATTATATAATATAAAAATTCAAATATATTACTTTTATTAATATTTGTCAGAAAGGAAGATCCTTTTTGGAAAGTTAGAAAATTCCCACCATCCCCACCAGGCTTGGCTGAAGCCAGCAGTTTTAGGAAATAACAATTGCTCCATTTTATGTTTTTCTGCCATGACTTCTTCATCCATGAATAAAATTATCACTGTATAAATATAGTGTAGTATAGTGTCCTAGCATCCCAAACAGCAACCTGAGTTGTCATAGTAAATTCATCAGGCTTGTTTCATCTGCACATATAGAAGCAGACTTACAGAGAAGATAGCATTAGAAGGCAAAGAAAAGTCTGAAGATAAGCCACATCAGATGCCGCTAAAAGTCCTAGGAACAAGCACTGATAGAGGCCTTATAAATCAGCATTGTTCCAGCAACTTAAATAAGCCAAGGTGCTCCCTCAATAGTAGCAACCTCAGACCTCTCCTGAGCACAGCTCACTGGTGAAGTCTGAATTCTATAGTCAGTTACTTCTGAGTAGCCCTGGCAGGTAAGGGTAGCCACAACATGCATCACAATGTCATGACTTAGATACTTACCACCACATGGGTACAAGGAGTGTTGTTTTTCATCATCGCTTTGCAGGCAGGTTTTGACTTTTGCCTTCCTTGTCCTTGCCTACAGATGCCCATGCTCAAGTTGTGTAGTTGATTTCAAGGGCTAGATGAAGGAGCCTGGGTCTTAAGCATGCTAGGGCTAGGGTTCATCCAGGGATTGGAGCCAGTTGCTGGCTCCACAGCTCTGCTGCCAACTGGAAGTACAGGGTCTGATTTTAGGGGGCCATTTTCCTGGTATTCTCACTTGTCTGTGGAAGTCTTTTGTGGCAGGACTATGAGAAAGATATAAGAGGGGTGACATATTACTTGGTTTATAATAAACAATATTTTAGAATTGGATTATTCATGTTGTTTCACGACTGCAAGCAGACAGAAAAGTTTCCATTATTTTCTTTAGCTTAAATATGTGAGATCTGACATCAGGGAATCTTAAAAACACTAAGAATAATAATATAATCCACAAAAACAAATATCAAGCCTTTACGGTAATATGACACAATAACATATAAAGAAAATCTTCGCGACAGACAGAATCAAGAGTATCTTGTACATGATTGATATGTACTTTTATAGTCCAAATAGAGCTGATGTAGTAAGGAAGCAGTCCCTGGTTTGAATGTTGTCTCTGCCATGGATTAACTAGATGGCCTAAAATAAGCCTTGGCTTTACTTAACATGGACATGCCCCCTTCAATAACACGATTTATTTAAAAAAGAAAATTGACTTAATACACAGGATTGTTGCAAGGATAAGGACTGGGCACCACTAGAAAACATTATATAAATGTTTTTTTTTTAATTTATATTAATGCATTTATAGATTCTCTGGTTTTGCTTTTTTAAAGTAGTTTGTGGGGGTGAATATACACACACATATACATACATGCTGTACAATTTCTATACACATACTCTTTATTGTGTTGCTCAGCACATATTCATAGTGGCTGCCATTGGTTTTCACAGCTTTTTGGTAACTCAAACAGTTGTCAGACCAAGAGATCTAATATTTGATAAAATATTAAATACCAGTGTAATGCTTTATGAACATTTTTTAACCAACAGGTTACAGAGCAAATTATTTTTTAAGACAGGTTATTTAGCTTATGCATATCCAATATGGATTTTACTCATTCTGGCAAGAAAAATAATAAATATTAATTTGAAAAGCTTGTTTTTTATTGTTACAAGTTAAATGCACAATATATTATGGTATGCTGAGATGAACTAGCCACATATTGGCCTTAATTCAAAGTCATGTTGAAATAAATGACATTATTTAACCAGATATAATATTGTCCATTGATTACAATAGATATCTTTAATTGAATTGTAGAAGCTGAGTAGAAGCTGAGTGGTGCCTTATGACTTTTTGATGAAACAGGAACTTGCATTCTCAAGAAAAAGTCCTTTAGATTGAATATATGTGATTTTTATAAACATTTCAATTTGTACATTTACATTTTATATGTTATGCTTCCAAAAATGTTTGAAATAACATTTATATAATTTTAACACTACATGTTTTCATTGTGTCTTTTTAGTGCAAGAAATAAAGCATAGTATTTATTTGTGGTTTTTTAAAAAAATAGTTTGGGATAAATTGATAGAAGCCCAGCATTTCCATCACAAAGCAGATTAGAACATAAGTGCAAACATTGAGCCAAATGTTCATTTTCCATCACTTGTATTTGTTTGTTGAATAAAAGGTTATAGATATATCTATGAAACTCCAGAGATGAGAATATTTAACTGAATATTGAACAATAAAATTCTTTTGTGGAAATATATAGGAACAATTTTGTTAGCTCTTTGACCTGAGTTTTTATGATCCGTAACTCAATCTTCCCTTTCTTTACACAGTAAATTTAATGCCAGGTGTAGCATGGACTAATACTTTTTAGTATTATAAGTAATTAAATATTTTAGCATAAAGTTGACTTTTAAATCCAAACATATTGAGCAAAATAGATTTAAAAAAACATAGTGTATTTTTCCAAGTTGCACATAATCCATTGGTATTATTGGAATTACATTGTCCTTTCCCAAATTAATGTCCTTTTCCAAAACACTGATCTGAAAATGTGTTATCTGTATCCTGTTCCTATTTCAAAGGATGATAATGAAGGAAATACTTTTTTTTTAACTTAAAAACATAATTGTGTGGATTTAAATACATTGTAGCCTTTCAGTTAGTTTTAAAAACTGTTGTTTTGAATTTACATACATAATGATAATTGAAGTATTTTATGTGTGTGTTTTTTCGTTTTCTTTCTGATACATCTAATATAAAGGAAGAAATGGCTCTGGAAAGCCAGTGAGAGAGGTTAGTGCATCTAATGCCCACTGCAAGAGCTTCCCACTGCTTCATTCTCCTTTGTTTTGTTTTTTTCTTTTTTCTTTTGTCTGGCACTTGTGGCACAGCATGTGTGTGGTTAGGTACCTGTTACAAGTGTACTCTAATACAGTGTTTCTCAACCTTGGCAGCTTGAAGATGTGTGGACTTCAACTTCCAGAATTCCCCCAGCCAGCCATTAGAAACACTGTTCTAATATGTAATACCTCTCAACTGTCAGTGGATATCAAAATATTAGAAACAGAAGGAACACACATTTTCCCATTAGGCTACCCCCTGGAAAATGATATCTGGACAAGGGAATGTAAAATAAAAACGTTTCTACAAAATCCTTTTCACAAGCCTTTGGTAGTTCATCATAACTTGGCTTGCATTTTGAGACTATGGCAGGTTTCTATTTACATGTGTATGTTCCAAATAGTTATATAAAATTGTTTAGTTGTGTTCTTTTCAAAGCAAGAGTTGAGAGGTATAAACAGTAAAGTCTTTCAGCTTGCAAGTTTAATGTTTGCACCAGCTAAATTGTCACTAACACCCACAGGCTCAACCGTGTCATGTTAAAGTATGTGTGAATACGCAGCTGGTTTAGCTGTTACACTACTGAATTTTAACCTGGATAATGAATATTTGTTATTACAGTCCAAGACTAGATCATAAAGAAAAGGTTTAAATGGCATCATGTTTTGCATTCTATTGAGTAGCCCTTGGCAGATCTTGCTTCTTTTTCTGTCTAAATATTTCATAGTTACTGTATGGAAAATTACATGGATACCAGAAATAAACTTAGTTTGATGTAAGGCTATAGAGTTAAAATATGTTTCTGTGTTCTAGGAGTGAGCAGCAAAAATGCACATAAACTAATTGTCCTCTTCTAGAAATTAAATTTCTTCTTGGACTAAAATAGTCAATAATTTACAGAAGGCATCTGAATGTTAACCTACTTTTTTTCCCCATCAGGTTTGCTATTTAAAACATGTATAGTTTAAGAAAGGAAAAGAAGTAAAAAAAAATGGTAAAGTATCACCATATAACATAATGGAAAAGTGCAATAGCCTTGTATTTAAAGTCAGTCAACTAAAAAGCCCATTCTTCCTATATAAGAATCTGTCTTCTGCTTAGGAATAAATGGAGTTTTAGGCAGAATTGATTCCATTTCTGTGTAAAATGGCCTAAAATAAAATCATGAAAGCAGCCTGCAGTGATAAAAATTTTCAAGGAAAGGGGTTTTGCACATCTTGGTATGAATTGTTCATGTTCATACTGAATCTTGGTTTTCAGGCTGCTTAGTAAGACAAAGCATATTGAAGTCCACCAAATAATCCATTGAATTAGAAATGGAAAACACAGAAAGATATAAAATAGACCTCACAATCATTCTTTGTATTATATTTAATAATGGACTTTTGTTTCAAAATGACTGTACCTTTTTTTTCTAGACTACAGACAAAAAAAGTTCTTAGTGAATAAAGAAATGAAAACTGATTTGCATTAAAATAAAAGCATACATATAAAAATATGTACTTCTAAATGAAATATGTAATAGTCTCATTTATTTATAAAATTATTGATTAGATTTATATTCATTCCCTCCCCCATTGTCCCACCCTCATTTTTTAGATCTATATCCAGGAGCTCAAAGTGATAAAAGCACTTCATTTACTGTTGGCTTTCTGCTGGTTTTTTTTCTTTAATTAGTCTTTAAAAAAAAATTGCAGGGAGTATAGTGAGTTTTGAAAGTGATTAATATATATTAGGAAGCATATATATTTAGATTCGATTCATAGGAAAATTCCAGGGAATAATATTAAAAATATTATTTATCACTGTTAAACGTATTTAAATATAAATTAAAGAATATTTGAGTAAATTATAATTTGTCTACATTTATGCACATTTATTAATCCTTTATAATAGAAAACATTGCAGTCCTGTATATAATATATTGTTGCAGTGAAAATGGAAAACTAACAAAGAGCTACTTGAGTTTAAAAAAAGGAAGGACTGAATATTTTTGTATCATTCAAACTGCAGGTGCTTTAAAAGTCACATTAATATTCATTCGATGTATATCTCACCTTTCATTCAGGAGATCATGGCAGCATGAATAGCACTTCCTAGTACTGTTTTAGAACTGCATCTCTTTTTTTTTTTTTCAGACTGAGTAAATCCTGAAAAAAGGGGCTTTTTTTTAATGAACACTAAGGTGCTGCTAGACTGTGTGAAGTCTGAAGGACTTGTAACATATTGTTGAAGTATGTACAGCCCTATTGGTCATCCATAAGTGATGCAGTAATCCTGTTACATGCCTATTCCAACTCTGAGTCTATGATTTTTTTTCAGATTACACAATTTATCTGTTAGTAAGCAATAAGGATTGAAAGCTTTTTAATTGTTCCCTTTTCAAAACCTTTGGAGTCAGCTCTAATTAAAAATATGAAGTGCAGTTTCTTCTCATTTTGAAGGAAGAGATACATGAGAAGTTTAATGCAAGCCTCCAAATAATGCATGTATACATCCATACATACAGTTAAGATACTTTTTCAGACATTTTAAAAACAACTTTCAATCATTTCTATCCGGTATGGTGACCAAAAGATTTCTTCCTGTTTTTTTACGACATAGTATTGTGAAAGGTGAAAATGTAATAGTCTGAGGTGTTAACTCAAACGTTTAAAACATTGTAAAGTCCTTGAATTGTGTAATTCTTCAAAAAGAAGGAGAGAGACAGACAGACAGGCTGCAGATAATTGTAAATAAATGTCATCCTTATTCTACTCATTTATTCCATAAACATTATTAGAATGACTTAAGAGTCTTGTGTGGTTCAACCAAAGTCCACATTCAGGTACTGAACCTGAAAAGATGAGTTGTTCTTCAGTGAAGAATTGGGGTCAAAGCTGATCCACTTCAGCCAGCCACTTAACTTTGTTAAAGGATCACTGTGTTTGCTCAGAAACTCTCTTGTAAGTCAAAGCAGCTGTTAGATTCCAATGAATAGTAGCAGGGTGATGCTTTCCTTCCCAGCAGTACCTCAGTCAAAATTCCCATGAAGCAGAGCACCCTGACAAAGGTCCACAAAGCCCTCTTTTTTAAAGGGTCATGGTAAATTATCAGTTAAGTTCTGAATAGTATAAGGTACAACTGATTCAAAATGGTTACCTGAAAGATCTGAAGAAAGCAGCTTCTACACCATGCATCATGTGGACCAATCTCAACTTGACTGCATTTGAAGAAGTTTTCATAAAGGGAACATTTGGGTACACATTTAATCATTTGGTTTGTAAGGACTATACTTTCTGTATGAACAATCCTCAATATTAGGAGGTGAATGGACATCCCTCTTTAGATTAAACAGATAATGAACAGAGACAGAGACATTTCAGTTGAGCCATTCTGGCTTCAGAATATAATATGAAGCCACATGAAGATTTGTTTTATTTGTCCCAAACTTTTAAATTATATTTTTGTTTATAGGGTTATGTGTGTATGTTGCATAATTGTTTTGTTTGTCATCTCTTCTAATTGTGTATTATTTCTAAACCTCATGAGAACCATGTCAGATGAAAAATTATATCAGCACAATTGCAATTTATATTATAAAATGGAGGTGATAATTTAACATCTTACTGGTAGAAATCTTATTCCAAGGCTTTATTAGTAAAAAATGCTAGGGAAGATATGGGGAGGGAGAGCTATTAGTCAGGCTGAACCTCTTGATACACTCTAGTCCATCAACCTTGGGAGTTATTTCAGCCTAACCCAGAAAAAAATTAGGAAGAGATGTTGGATCTTCCGGTCCAAAGCCCACAATAACTGTGCAATGCATCAAGGTTAGCAGTGTAGTTAAGCAGTTTTTCACATGGGTATGGTTTTAATGAGAAATACCTTATTAGAACAGTCAGATCTCTAGATGTAAAAAGAAATTCACTGGGAATGCTGAATTTATAGGGAAAAAAACAAGGGAGCCCAACCACTATACACAGACAATGCAAAATATAATTAGTGCTAACTATACTAGTTGCTTTATCACTTCCTTGAAAAATGGTTAGCTTTCAACACATGCAAAGAGGATGAATGGAGGAATACCATGTGGCTTTGATACTGTTGGGCACGCCCTCCTTGCTTTTCTTCCTTTTTTTCCTCCCTGAACGCTTTTTTTATGGAATGTGGAGGATAATTAAAAGCAAGCCTTTCTGAAGAGAGGGACTATTGCTATGCCCAGCCATGAAGACTGCTTTATCTCTTATGTGGATCCAGCCAGGATATTGAAAGTTATCTATAGTTAAGCATATTTTCCTAACAGGCATTGGTGAGATAATGAATATGCAGTCTAGTTTTCACCAATTTTGCCATTGTACAGGGGAACATTTCCATTTATTCAAACCTGTCGACATAGTATCAATTTATCAAATACCCTAGGAGACATGTTATGCCATTTTTAAAACAATTACAGTTTGTCACAAACAGGTGAGAGGCAGCATTATTAGCTTTTAAAATGTTGTATTCTGAGCCGATTCTAGTAATTTTCTGTGTTAAACCAATAGGATATTAAGCATTCTTTTAAAAAGATCACATTAATATATTCCTATACAATACAGTGGGTCATATATACTTAGTGATTCCTGTGGACCCTGGATTAATTCCCCTTCAGGGGACCAGAATGGTCTGAAAACCAGGAATGGAGGGGCTTTAGAAATGCATGTTGAATATGCATCTGATTTAATAAAATATGTGTCCATGTACAATTTTTTGCTTGATGGTCATGTGAGAGTTTGGCTGTTTTCTTGCAGATAGTCAATCATTGCATTCTGGAGTTTTTTTCCTAATTTGCTTTATATTATTTCTTGTACCCACATTAATGTAATGATTTGTTGTATCATGGTCCAAAATTTTGTAATTCCAGTACTCATTTAAAAAAAAAAAAACTTATTAGGAAACCAACACTGTAATTTGATTCACCCACTGAATAAAATTTTGTAATCAACTTCCTTTAATTCCTTTTAACACTTTAAACAATAGTGTAAATATATATAATTGGTTTAAATCTTTTTGATTCCAACAGACATCTTCCCTGAGACCCTATTCTTGTTTATTAGCATTTTAGAAAATTCCTAGTTAGGTTGTTAATTACAGTTGATTCAGTTAGGTGCTACAGATTGTGATTAATATCTAAATACTTTTGTAAAGAAGCCTCCTCATTCTCATGCACATTTAACTTTGGAATGTTCATGCATGTAGCTTTGAAATTGATTTGCTGGATTTATAATTTAGAAATGTAGTGTGATGCCAGCTGAAAAGCGCTGCTCAGATTTTACTCAACCATACTGCCGATCTTGTGTCAAATAATTCCAAATTATTTGATAGAGTCCTTGCATTTTACCTCCTTTTTCATAATTTATTGAGGGCACCTCACTCTTTCCTTTAGGTTAATATGAACTAGTCTTTACAAACATTCACAAGACAGATCGATTTATTGCCTCTCTCTCTTTTTATCTGTTTTACAGGCAACAATGTAGTTAGCCTGTTCCACATGGCAGATGACTTGGGCCGAGCAATGGAAACCTTAGTGACAGTGATGACTGACAACAAGTTACTAGAATAACAAGATCTGTTTTACAACTTCAGGCATAACCTGCATGGTTTTTATAATATTCATATGACAAAGGATTAGACTGTAAGAGTTTACATGAAAACAAATCTATATTTTTGTGAAGGGTAGTGGTACTATACTGTAGATTTCAGTAGTTTCTTAAGTCTGTTATTGTTTTGTTAACAATGGCAGGTTTTACACGTCTATGCAATTGTACAAAACATTATAAAGAAAACTACATGTAAAATCTTGATAGCTAAATAACTTGCCATTTCTTTATATGGAACGCATTTTGGGTTGTTTAAAAAAATTTATAGCCGTTATAAAGAAAGATTGTAAACAAAGTGTGCTTTATAAAAATGTTTATATAAATCCCTATTAAAAAACACAGAAAAAAATGAGGCAGCGCATTTGTTTAGCATCATTTCAGCTCTGTAATTATACCCAGCAGATATTCATGTGCTGTGTTCTTTTCCTCAAAATTAAACAGAATTTCTGCAACACCAAACAGTCAACATACATTTTTTGTTGTGTCTGACTAGCTCTTGCTTTACAATTATTATTTTCCAAAACTTCCAGTTGAGATAGCTTTCCATATCCTAAGCAAGTTTTATTGGAATTATCCAGCTAGTTGGCAATAATTTGAAAGAGCACATTACATGACAAATATCAGAGCTTGCAAAAATAAGACAGATTGAACCCATATTCTAAGCTCTTGTTATTTGCTCTACTACTTTGGATCTGAATGTTAAAAGTAAACACAAAATAGGAATTGCCTTACTGAATTATACCAGTGGACTTAGTTGTCCTTATCCTGCCTCTGGCACTGGCCAGCACCTTAATGTTTCAAAGTAAAAATATGATTTGCTTTCATGCCCTGTGATGCCACCTTTTATCAGATATCCTGCAGCTGTGTGTGTGTGTTGGGATGAAGACTTGAGTACAGATACCAGTCTGTGATCTGCTTTCATCCTGAGTTAGATTACTCATGCTATTATTTAATATTTAATTTTATAGAAGCAGTATTGAATATTGAAAATTGCCTAAATTCTTTAAAAAAACCACACACACAACACTACAGTTTTTGCCTTGTTAGCAAATTCCAAGGAGCCACACAAGTTCCTCATCAACAGTAACAAAACAGATCAGCGTGGCACAATGATAAAAACATCAATTCTGTCAACTGCTTAAAATAGCCACACTGCTTTATGAGAAGCTGGTGATCCAAGACAAAATCCAGCAATCCTACTCTACAAGTAATGCCGCACAATTAACAATGACTCAGGAGAGGGATGACAGAAAACAGATGTTAGAAAACAGTCCCTCAGGTTTACTACTATAAAATGTTGAGGTGCTGTTAACAAAAGCTTCACCATTTCATTTTCTTCCCACCAGCCTTTAATTCCATTGTCTAAAGACAGATTTTCACCATCTAATAAACTTTAATACTTCACAAAAGTTAAATCTGTTACCTCTTGTATGGTGTAATTAAAACACAGGAGAAAAAATTGTATTTTATTTTTAATGTTAGTTAACATTCAGCATGGGTAGTCATGTTATTTCTACCTCACTTTCGTTTTGTGGTGGTCTGACAATTACGTAGAGAAGGTATGTATCATCAACCACTTATCCATTGTGTAAACAGGTGTTCTTTTACTTTTAATACCAATACATTACAGAACAATTAAAATTTAGTAACTCACGAAGTCCATACATTTTCATGATTTTTTTAAAGACTTTGGGCACAATTCAGTCTAGCATGAGCAGTGCCCACCCACGGAAGAAGTGGTCTAGCCTTCAGAAAAGCCCTGTTGCCTACCCTTCCTTTAGGCTGTCTCATGTGCATCTCCCTGAGACGACAAGCTTCCATTTCACCCAGAAGTATCGTCTTCACCTCCAAGGGGATGCACACTAAGATGACCGTTAATGGGGCTCTGCTATGTCCTGGGTCAGTATTGGCCCAACACTGTCCCACTTCCTCGAGAGGGTGGGACGCCCCCACCCCAACGCCTACACCGCCACACGCATGGGGAC